AAAAGGTAACCACATCGATGTATTGGAGAGGGTGATGAAAAAGTCTCGGGGAACCTACAAGACGAGAAAATCTATGTGAACCGATGGACGGAGGCGGCCAAAGGGACTTTGATGTTTAAGTCACATAGAAAAGTACTGAGTGAAAAAGCTCGAATTAAATTCCATTACTTGGTACTTGGGCCTTTATTTGTATTAGTAGAGAGGTGTATCCCAATTGAACTCGAATTAGGGGTAAAGTTAGATTAGGACTCTTGGTCCTTATTGCCAACCCCTGGTTGCTCGGAGTAGCGTTTCACTTGGACACTAACTCATAGGTGCCTTATCCCCACTCCTAAATATTCGGAGTGGTATTTGACTATGACTTAAGGTCCTTGATTGACCCTACCCAAGTGGGACTCATTTGAGGTAGTTTTGGATCCAAGTTTGGACAACCGAGGTCTTGCCCGAGCCACCTATCAACTGGCAGTAGTCAGGTGAGCTAACTACCGACTGGTAGTGGTGCCATCAGCTTGCCTACTGGTAATGCCTGCCCAGCAGCCTGTTGAGCCCTCAGAGGGATCCCATTTATGCTTTTTCCGAATGGTATGGGCTAGGTTCTTTAATGGGATGAGGTAGACTACTCCTTACCTTTTGCCAAGTGGTGGGCAATATGAAGATGCTACTTTGCCAAATGGCAAGGAGAAGCCACTTTGTTGAGTGGCAAGGAGAAGCCACTATATGCCTCATAATATTTATATTTACATCTAAAATCAAATTACAAATATAGAGTAAAGAGAATAATTTAAGCACTGGTTGTAGTGTGGATGAGCAATGGTAATTGTGGTAGGTGGCAGTGGTGGTGGTGAAAGACGGTGATGGTTACAATGGGCAACGACGAGCGTCATGGTGGTGGTGGTGAAAGACGGTGATGGTTACAATGGGCAACGACGAGCGTCATGGTGGTGGCGGCGGTGGCGGCGGTGGCAGCCGTGTGTGACAACAGTGATGGTGGTGGTGAGTTTTGGGTGACAATAGTGGTAGTGACAGTCATGGGTAATGACAGTGTAGTGGTGGTGGGTGACGGTGATGGTGGTTGGAAGTGGTGGCGATTTGTGGGTTATAGTGATGGGGGATGATGATGGTTGTGGTGGGGCACGAAGAGTGCTTATAGGCTATGGTAGTGGTGGGTGGTAGCAAATGGCAGTGGTGTGTGATAGTGGGTGGTGGCGATTGTAGGCAACGACGAGTTGTTGTGGGTTGTGGTTGTAGGTGGCAGTGGCAGTGGTGGTGGCGGTGGTGGCAGTGGTGGTGGAATGATAGTGGTAGTTGTAATAAATATAAGAATGAGATGGTGGTGGTGGGTGGTGGTGGGTGGTGGTGGTGGCAATAGGTAGTGGGTGACAACGGTGGTGGTGGTGGTTGGTGATAGCAATGGTGGGAGTTGTGGCAAAGATGGTGGTGGGGTGACAGTGGTGATTGTAGCAGAGGTGGTGATGGGGTGGTGATGGTGGTAGTAATGATGTTGGTGGCGTGGGGGGGGGGGGGGGGGGGG